CCCTGGGCTGTCTGCAGGAGTGAGGACAAGGATGAGTGTGATAGTGCTCCTGCTCAGGTGTCACTCACTCATGTAGCTGACACTCACTGAGCTCTTCACAGGGCCCCTTCTGTGAATTCCAGGATGAATGGCCACCGGCTCCTGATGCCAAGTCCTCCCAGCACAGGGTACCCTGGCAGTGAACTAGCAGGTGCCGAGAAGTCGGTGGGAAGGAAATGGTGGGAAGAAGAAGGCCAAGAGCATGGTGTGTAGTTGGGAAATGTAAGTGGCTACGAGTTAGGCTGAGTGCAGAGTAAAGGCCACTAAGTGACTGGAAGTGAAGCTGCAGGAAGACGTGACAACACTCTAAGGTTTCTCAGCAGATGAACACCATGAAGTAGCTGCTGGGAAGTAGGCCCTGGCCCACAGAGGGCAGCAGGTGTGCAGCAGGTCCTGGTCAGGCATAACTTGGGCAACAGTGACAGTGGACAGGAGGGGTTCTCCACACCACGTGCGAATGTTCTTTCTCAGACTGGGTTCTCGAGAATCCTTGAGAAAGGGTGGGGAGTGTTATAGCAAGATGTGGCGACTCTGGCTGCAGCAGGACGTTGCGGCGCACTGTGCCTCAGTGTGTATTGCTCTTCTATAGAACTCCTTTTGAACTGCTGGTGGAAGAGTACCTGCGGGCCTCTCCCTAGCAGACGGCAGCAGCCCCAGGAGAAAGGGGCGTTTTGGGTGTCCTGGGGCCCTTGTGTGTAGGCTTGCAGCTGGCCTGGGCTACCAGGAATGACAACCTTGCACCTTTTCTCCACCAGCAGGGGCAGCACTCCTGGTCCCACTTGCTAGGTGTGGGACGCAGGGCCAGGCCTGCTCGTCGTGCACACCTCAGGCGTGGGCTGCATTGGATAGAATGCAGAGTGCTTACCGAAGTGCCCGCATGTAGTTTAGTGCTGGGGGATGGTGACCCTGCCACACACCTGAAAACAATACTCCAAACTCCTGAGTGTGGCAAGCGGAGCCCGGGGAAAGGTTCTATAACTGGGGGGTGTCCTCACCCCGGCTGCTATGACAGCCTCGGGCTGGTTACCCTGGAGCCCCTCTTTCTCCCCACAGGGGCCGCTGATTCTCCCATGTGCTCAGCCATGTCACAACTCGGCGCCGCCCTCCCCATGGTTTCCCATGGCAGGGGCGATACCCCGTCATACCCGCCGAACCAGGCCCAAGTCACCAATTACTTTTCTCTGGACAGCATCTTTGGTTCCCCTCCTGGCAGAGCCCTTCCCCGGAGATTTATGTGACTTTCTCACTGTCTTTGCATCTCTGCTCAGATGTGACCTCAAAGAACTTGCCAAGAAAACATTACTTTAAGTATGAAATAATCCGCCTCCCCTCCCCTAATACAGTTTGACTCTTACCACTGCCGGTAAGCATTTCGGACTGGAGGACGACCTGCCCTCGTCGAACTTCACTCCACCTCCACGAGCGCGGGGTTTTCACTCCTCCAGCCCCTCGGACCGGCCTAGCCCGATGCTCGCTCGGGGTCTAGGGAACGCAGTCTTCCGTGAGCCCAGACAGCGCCAAGGGTCGTCAGTGACCTCCGTTCCCTGACTCGTCCCCCCTTCCCGAGCTCCGTGAGGATGACTTCCAAGACGGCCGGGTCTCCGGCGGGACGCCCGGCGCGTCGTCACCCGCCGGGCCCGCAACTACCGAGCTCGGCTCGCCACCCGCTCCTCCGAGGCACATGGGGTTCTGCCCCGCCCCGTCGCCAGTCGCCCCCAGCTCGGTCCCGTCTGCCTCCCCGGCCTTCCCCACGCCCCGCTGGGTTCCCTCCGCGGCAAGACATCCCTGTCCCCAACCCCCCACGAGAGGACACTGTTGTCACATCTCCCCCGATCCACGCGGCTCCACGCGCCTGCCCCGCGCTCCCCGCCCGCAGCGCCTGGCGGGCCTCCCGGGCCCGCCC